CTGAGGGCCTGAGGAGGAACCTCTGAGGGCCCCTGACCTCCTGAAGCTGCTTCCATCACATGATTGTTTTTGACTCACAGATTTGATGCTTTTCAATCCGTTGACTTATTCTGGGTTTTAAACAAGTTATTCGTCATCTTTACATTTTAGAGAATCACCTGAAACAAAATGAATAAAATCTAAAGACGCATCAAATTTAGTTTAATGTTAAATAAGAATGAAATCATCACTGAAACATGAAACGTGTGTGAGTGAGAGAGAGAGAGAGAGTGAGTGTGTGTGTGTGTGTGTGTGTGTGTGTGTGTGAGTACAGTGTTTCATGAACTGTTGAACTTTCAGGATAAAACTTCTCTGATGATTTAAAAACTTAATGTCGTAATAAACTGATTTTTTTCATTGATCAGGTTTTAATTGTTTTTATTCTGTTGATGTTCAGAATGAAATTAAATGAATGAATTTAAAGTTGATGTTTCAATGTGAATGAATCTTTTTTCATTTTATTCTAAAAATCAATAGAAGGTGGAGAGAGGATGAGGCCGGTTGTTTACTGACCTGATTAGATTGTGGGTTTCTAACTGTGGACTCGGGGTCAGGGGCCAGTGGGCGGCACAGTTGGGCCCCTCACAGGAAACAGCAGGTTTGAGTGTCTCAGTGAGGACCGGTCATCATGAGGAGCTGCTGCATCGTCTGGACGCTGCTGCTCAGCATCGCTGCTGCTGCAGGTAAAACACACACCTTCACTTCCTGTTGCACCTGGAGCCACCACCTTTACTTCTGCGTGAGCAGAACATACTAAAGACATGTGATGATTAAACATACACACGGAGACGCAGACATACTAAAGACATGTGATGATTAAACATACACATGGAGACACAGACATACTAAAGACATGTGATGATTAAACTCTTTAAAATCTTTTTCCAGATAAAACTTAATTTCCAAACATAAAGTGAGCTCAAATCAGTCTCTTGGTAACTATGGCAACTGAGACGTCTCCATTTATATTAGAATTATTTCCAGAAACCACGTCTTCATTTGTCCAGAAAATACAAAATAAAGATATGATTCCTCGCAGACTTCACTGTAGAACATGACTGTTGGTTTCTCTCTGAGTGTTTGTGGAGAAACGTGAAGCGAACACGCTGCTGCCGAGGAGCCGTCGAGCAAACAGCGGCTTCCTGGAGGAGCTAAAGCAAGGAAACCTGGAGAGAGAGTGTATCGAAGAAACCTGTGACTACGAAGAAGCTCGAGAGGTGTTCGAAGACGACCACAAGACGGTCAGTCTATATACAAATTAGATTTATATACACACACAGATTCCATTTAAATATACTGATTACTATATATTAGAGATAGAGATAGTAGTATTGTCCTGATCACTGTTGTTGTGTTTCTATAGAGACAGTTCTGGCTGACGTACGACCGTGAGTATCTCTAACCTGGTCACATGATCTATAGAATAAACCAGTGTATTGACTGTGATGAGTCAGGTACTGAGAAGTACTGATAAGTACTGATTAGTACTGATGGTCAGTATCTGGACTTTCATTGATCCTCATTCTCTGTTTCTTATTTTCTCTGTAACGTCATCGTCAGTGTTTTTAGTTTTTATAATATGTCGTCTATATTTTCACCGTCATGTCACTGACATTGGTTTTCTTTATGCTTTGATCATGTATAAATTGAAGGAACCATGAAAAATCATTTTATGGGAGTGACTGTGGTTCTGTTTGTGAGGTCGTGACCCGTGTCTGGAGAACCCGTGTGAGAACAACGGAACATGTGTTTACGTGGGAACCAGCTATGACTGTCAGTGTCCTGAGGGATTTGAAGGACGATACTGTCAGACAGGTGAAAATACGACTTTTAAAAAACAATACTCAAGCGTATAAAATCATTTAAAGGTCACGTTACCTGGACGCAGCTTTTATTTCATCTGGAAGGTTGATCTGACATCATGTTTAAATATGAACTCCTCATCCAAAGGACCAAATGTAAATTAAAATTAAACCAAATGTAAATTAAATAAAAACCTTTGAATTCTTAAGACTTTTCATTTTTGACAAATCAGTTGTTTTATATTCGACCAACGTTTCTGAGCCCAAAAAGCTTTAGAAAGAAAAGAAAAGTTGTTGATCAGATTTTTTTTCCTTCAGTGTTTGAAGACTCACTAAAGTGTCTTTACCTGAATGGACACTGTCAACATTTCTGCGACGGCTCCGGACAAAGACGTAAATGTTCCTGCGCTGACGGATACAAACTGGCCGACGATGGACGACAGTGTGTAGCTCAAGGTCTGAATAAAAACACGAAGATGTTTCGTATCTTACAGATGAGTTCAACCTGCAGCTAATTAACGAGCGAAGCATCACTGACTTCACTGGAAACACAAGCAGCTAAATGCTCATCTAGAAAAACAAGTTGTGGCTCAGACGTCACGTTGGTCATGTGGACGATGTCGTGTTGTGTCTCTCACAGTGGAGTTTCCCTGCGGTCAGCTGGCTCCACAGGAAACGGGCCTGAACCAGAGCATCGTGATTCAGACCCGACTGGTGGGAGCCAACCACTGTTCCAGAGGAAAGTGTCCCTGGCAGGTAAACCCTATGAGACCAGCGCCACCTGGAGGCTACTCTGTTCATAACAGCCATGAACAAACTGATGTTTCATCTGCTTTAACAGTAGTGGCGCTAAACATGCAAAGTTTGTCCTGAGGGTGGCGCTAGAGGAAAGAACCCGAGGGTTCATCCTCTACAGAACATCATTTCTTTACTTGAACCTGATCAACAGACATCGTACTGATCAATGAATCCGTTTCTATCACTCAGGTTCTGGTTCAGTTGAACCAGACCAGTCACTGTGGAGGAGTTCTGATTCGCCCAGACTGGGTCGTCACTGCGGCCCACTGTATCCATGGCAACAACCCGCAACACTTTGTTGTGGTGGCAGGTAAATAATCTATGTTACGACTGAATTTCCCTCCGGGGATGAATAAAGTAATCTATCTATCTATGTTTGAGTTTGTTCATGGATACATCTCAAAACTGAGAAACGAGTTGTAAAGTCAAGTTTTAAAAAGTCTAAAGTTCGAAGACCTAGTGACGTGTTTTTATGACGGTTTCCTCTGCGTCTCCAGGAGAAAACAACCTGGATGTAGAAGAAGGCACAGAGGAAAGGGTTCCTGTTGCCATGGCAATTATCCATCCAAGTTACGACGTGGCGACCAGCGACAGTGACGTCGCTCTGCTTCGTTTACACCGGACCGTCACCTTGAACGGCCACGTCATCCCCGTGTGCCTTCCCACCAAAGACCTGGCAGAGCGGGAGCTGCTGCTGAGCCGATACCACACGGTGTTGGGCTGGGGCAAGAGAACCAGCGGGGGCAACGTTGAGTCCGCCGGTGCCCCGCCCGGTGCTCCGGTCTCCCCCAACCTCCGCAAGATGACCGTCCCCATCATCCAGAACTCGCTGTGCTCCTCCAGAGCCGGGATAAACTTCACCAGCAACATGCTGTGTGCCGGGTACCTGGAGGGCGGGCAGGAGAGTTGCCGTGGAGACGACGGCAGCCCGCTGATCACGGAGTACAGCTCCACCCACTTCCTGACGGGTGTGGTGGGTTGGGGGCGGGGCTGTTCACAGCCTGGGTATTATGGGGTGTACGCCAACATGGCCAACTTTGTGGACTGGGTGGAGCACACCATAAAAGCTCCGCCCACCACCATGACAGCCGCTGAGAAGCCGGTGTAAACAGAAAGTGGTTCCCGAGAAGAAGATCTGTTGTAATTCTTTATCTGATCGTGATGTTGAGGTTCCGTCTGAATGACGACTGTGAAAACAAAATGAATAAAGCTTGTTATCAATGTAACGCTGATCCTACAGATTTTATTTTTACAGTGTCAACAAGAAAATTCATTTTCAAATTAAATAAATAGTAATTAATGAAAAAAAATTCACTTCATCTCATTTCAAATGTAATTAACTTAATGAACAGCAGGGGGAGCTGATGGTCAGTCACTGCCATTAGACCACCACAGAAGAAGAAAAGGTTTGTTTTATAATGTGTAAATTAAAAATGTTCATAAAAATGTTTCGTGTGTCAAAATGAACTACTGAACTTTGTCTATCATCAAATAACGGATTCAAACCAAACTGATGAGAAACACTTGAACAAACATCAGTTTGATGAGAACGAGTTGAAACGACAGAAACATCTACAAACATTTATTCTACTTATTATTTTGTTTGGTTCATGTTCCAACTGCCAACATGGAAGAGGTTCATGATCTGTACTGCAGCCAGCCACCAGGGGGCGATCCAAGAGTAGTTAGGACATTTGTGTCATTTTGTGATGTGAACAGGAAATGAAAACTAAACAAACTTTCAGGTAAACCCCGCCCCCTCCGATCAGGACATCCTCCCTCCCTCTCTCTCCATATAGGTCAACAGCCTCTCTCCCTCCTCCTCTCTCCCTCCTCCTCTCTCCCTCCTCCTCTCTCCACATTCAGGCTCTTTTACCTCCACTCGGCACACTGAGGTTTTTCCAGCTCGTCATCACCACCTTCCTCTGGAGCCATGTCGTGGTTTTACCGGCTGACCCTGGGGCTCCTGCTGCTCCACCTGGCTGCCGCTCACGGTACGAAAATCCAAACTTCTAGAAACGACAGACGAGAAGTTAAAGACATATAAATAAAGAGAGAGAGAGAGAGAGAGAGACAGTGTTTGGGGGGGGGGGGGGGGGGGTGTTGATTGGTGTCTGGCAGGTGACATCTGACCCCACCCTGTTTTGTGTGTTTAGTATGATGTCAACATGACAGCTGACACATGATGATGATTGACAGCTCTCTCCCTCAACCATTCTCACGTCTCATTGGACAAACCATTCGCTGCCCTCTGATTGGTCCGTTCATATCTTAATCTCACCATCGTTCGTCCGGTGACTTTTATTTTCTCTTTTAATCAAATTGTTGTTTTGTGAAAACGTTAGAATAAAATGTCCACGTCTTTATTTCAATTGACGCTAAAATCATCTGTTTACAATCAGGCCCAACAAAGAGAAAACGAAACCCTGGTTCGGGAACGTCTGCGTAAAAACAGAAATCAGAAAAGTTACAATCAGTTGATTGATCAAAAGAAAACAGATGAATTTCTTGGTGATGATTTGTTCCTGAAGCATCGACGTCATCTTTTTATTCCGCAGCCTACATTACCCACAAGGCAACTCAACAACATAACGTAAATAAAGATGGAGGACACGTCTCCACTTCCTCCCACAATCCAGAAATGAAGTCAAAATATCTCTTATACAAAAGCTGCCATCTGGGAGTCCGAGTCAAAGTAGTGATCAAAGTCCCGCCCATACACGCTCCCGACCAATCAGAAGTCAGTCTCAGCTGTCAGCTGACGTCCTGCTTTTCTATCTGAAACTAATTCAAACCAAACGGATCAGAAACACTTGAACAAACATCAGTGAGATAAGAACGACCTGAAATGACAGAAACCATTTATTTAACGTCTACTTTGTCCCATCTGCTAACATGGAGGAGGAGCCACCAGGGGGCGATCCAGATGATTTGGTTTCACCATGTAGGATTTTAGACCAAATGAACGCCACGATTCTCTTCCCCCTCCAGTCTTCCTGGACAACAAGGCGGCCAATCAGGTTCTGACCCGATGGAGACGAGCCAACAGCTTTCTTGAGGAGCTGAAACAAGGCAACATGGAGAGAGAGTGTGCGGAGGAGCACTGCAGCTGGGAGGAGGCGCGAGAAATCTTTGAAGACACAGAGAAAACGGTATCAACCTCCTGCTACCACTAACCCAGTCCGTTAGCTTGGTTTACTAAAGTTAGCTTAGCACATCAAACAGTTTAAAACAGGCTAGTGTGCTAAGCTTGATGTATTTTTTGTCCAGATTCGAGTTTCAGATCGAAATCATCTTTTATTTGATGTTGTTTTATTTCATTTGCCTTCTTTTCCTTCTCAGAATGAATTCTGGGCCATATACAAAGGTAAGGATTGTTGTGTGTCGTTAAAATCAACAATTAAAGGAGCTAATTTAAAAATGTTTTGGAATACTTGAAGTGATGCGTTTGGCTATTGTCTGATCGATGGTATAGTTAGAGCATGCAGTACCATATTTCGCCACTAGATGTGATTTTGTGCATATGAAATTTGTTTTGTTAATCGTGTTGTATCTCATACAAGTCAATCGTCGTCCTGCAGATGGCGACGCATGTGGGTCATTGCCCTGTGCTCATGGAGGACATTGCAAAGACGGAGTCGGCAGTTACACCTGCTTCTGTCAGGTCGGGTACCAGGGCTTCAACTGTGAGATCGGTAAAGAAACAGTCCCCTGGGACAGTCGGACTAAAGCAATGACACGTGACACAGAAACACTCTTCCTGCAAAGGGTTCGGGTTAATGGTCCTGAGGGAAACTGGAAATGTCTGTCTCTGTGACTTTTCAATTGAGAGAGGAAGTAGTGTTATAAATGATCCAGGCATCTACCTACCGATTATTCCAGGATGCGACAGTCGGAGAGGTGTTCAGGTGCTGCGACTCTCTGGGTTGCACAAGTACACGACTTCTGTCACTCCATGTATTAGATATGAACTTTTCCAGAATGGTAAACATTGATGGCCTCGTCTCGTAGCGGAGATGTGAGATGTGCGACTGAATCAGGTCTTGACCGTGTTCTTCATCTTCGCAGTGATTCCTGAACTCTGCGAGTCCAAAAATGGCGGCTGCGAACATTTCTGCAACGTGGTCAGAGGAAACGTTCAGTGCTCCTGTGCTGACGGATACTTCCTGGCATCAGACGATAAATCCTGCCACTCCAACCGTAAGAGTCTCAAGTCCAGACGGTGTTTCATTGTTCTCATGTGGTACAGTTTGAATCTTGCTGATAGAGAATATTTCCAATCAAGCAGAACTTTTAACGCAAAGTAATAGGAGCGTTGGTCACCACATCCTCGACAGTTAGCTGTAGCACGATTGTCAAGACAAAAATTCCACTTGTAGACGTGAACTATCATAATCTAATTAGCATTACGCAACTTTCAGAATCGATGCAACCATCAATCAATAGAATTTTTAGCGAACAAATCCTGAGTCCCAGATTTCTTATGAATTACTGCAGAGACTTTCAAGTGTGGCAGCGTCATCAGCGCAGACACCCGGACTGTCTTCAGGTACGTGCGACAGAACGTAACAGCGGAGAACTCGACTGGGTGGAACACAACCGACCTGAACACCAACTCGGTCCAGCAGAAGTTAGACTCGTCTTCTTTTGGAAACAGCACCCTCCAAACTATGCCAGAAAACGCAGTTTATGAGGAACTGATCAATGCTGAAATGGCACGTATGACCCGTATCGTCGGCGGAGAGGACTGTCCACCAGGAGAATGTCCGTGGCAGGTAGAGCTCTTTTTGGAATGGTGATATGTCCTCATATACAGTACAAGGAACAACTTAGATGTAGATGAGATGATAGAAAACTATGACAGTGACTGATCCGGTTCTGTCCATTAATGAGAAACGTGAGTGTCCGTTATAGTCTCTAAGTCGAGTCCTTGGAATCCATGGTTGTCCACTAAAGTCTAGTTGTAAAGTCTGTGTTGATATCTGCTGTTATTGGTCCAATCTGGTCTTTGCAGGCTCTTCTCCTGAACGAGGACGACGTCGGGTTCTGCGGAGGGACGATTCTCAACGAGTACATCATCCTGACTGCTGCCCACTGCATGAACCAATCACGCTACATCTACATCAAGCTTGGTAGGTGTGGCCAACCAGCCACTGTCACATGGATCACAGTCCAGATGTTCTGATCATCATATCACACATTGACATATTATCTGTGTACTTTCAGGTGAGTTTGACACGTTGGTGGATGATGGTAACGAAGCTACGCACTATGTGGAAACTATAATCACCCACTTTAAGTACAAACCAGACACGTACCACAACGACATTGCTCTCATCAAATTAACCAAACCCATCAAGTTCTCCAGGTTCATCCTGCCGGCCTGTTTACCAGAGCAAGACTTCGCTGAGAAGGTGAACCTTTAAAACACTGAAATATGAGATTCATGTTTGGACTCATGTCTGTGTGGTGAATTTAAGGCGACCTCGAACTGCTGGTTAGCAAAAATGAACCATTGTGTTCCTGACCTAAGCACAATAACATGCTCCTGTGGCAGGTCCTGATGCGGCAGCCTGACGGCGTGGTCAGTGGTTTTGGACGCCTTGGCGAAGGTCGGCTGGCGTCCACCATCTTGCAGCGCCTCTCGTTACCCTTCGTGGATCGGCTCACCTGCATCGAATCAACCCAATTCCGTATCTCCGCCCGCATGTTCTGTGCCGGCTACCACTCAACACCCAAAGACTCCTGTCAAGGTGACAGTGGCGGACCGCACGTCACCCGCTACCGCGACACAGTCTTTGTCACCGGCATTGTGAGCTGGGGTGAAGGCTGCGCACGCAAAGGGAAATACGGCGTCTACACGCAGGTGTCCAAGTACATCCGCTGGATCCGTGAGGGCATCCAGAAGCTGGTGCCTGAAGAGCAGAGTGGCAGCAGAGTGAAGAGGCACCACGGCGCCATCAAGAGGCTGTTTCTGTAAGACGATCCTCGATCAACGGATTTCTCCTTCTTCATCTAAAATCTTCAGTGAACGCCACTGAGCAGAGATCAGCATCTCTTTGTACCGTCGACCATTTAACGTTCGAGACGTCTCAACAGTCACGTTAGAGTCCCAAGAAACTTTGAAAAACATTTGATCATTTACCGAAAAATCTTAAAGCTGCGTTGACTCATTTTTGTGGCCACCTGGGGGCAGCAGAACAAAGTGTAGTAGCTCATATGGCATATTTTCACGTCACTCTAAAAAGTACATGTGTCTGACGTGTTAGCAAACAGTTTGCATATCTAGCAGTCATGTGACAGCATCTGTGATCAGTTGTGGTATAAAAGCAAAACGTCTGAACTTTAACGATCTGAGCGAGTTTGATTGAACAATTTCTGATTTGTATTATTGACAAAATGTGTCTGAGAAGTTCGGAGCAGAAATAAGTGAAAATAAGAATTCATGTGTTTTTTAGAAGCAAATAAAGAAAATTCCAACATGAAGTTTCTGTTTGATTTGAAATGTATCTGACATTCGTACTTTTAACAACTGTTGTATTTCTTCATTAAATTCTCTGAACAAAAATTGAGTTTCATAAAAACGATTTCCTTTTTTTGGTTATTGCTGAAAATTCCTCGAAGGTAGTTTTGGAGTTTTTACATTTCTCTTTAAATGAATGAATTTTATAACTGAGTGTGAGGTTCAGGTTCCTTCCCGTGTTATTGATGAGCTGATCAACAGGAAATTGATTGGCAACTATTCTGGTAATCAATGAAAGAAGCTTCAGTTGTTTTTAAAGGTAAAACTTCTGGATCAATATCCAGACAAACAGTGTGAGTACAGATCCTGACAGAAGCTGGGAACGGGTCAGAACACGCTGGTGGGTGAATTATTCTTTTTCAATCAGGGAATTTAAATTCACCAGAAACTCAACGTTCAATATGGAATTCTACGGATGTTTCAGAATCTTCTGGTGGATTCTGCTTCAGTGGGACCTGAATAAAAAGAATCCCTCAGCTCCGCCTCCGTGTTTATTCCCGTCGTTCGGTCGTCTTTGGATCCAGATGATGAAACTTCTTCTGAAATGATTAAACGCGCTGATGAAATCTGTCGACTTCAAACAAATGAAGGTTCAGAGGTCGAAGCTGCTGCTTGTTTTGTGTGATTTGAGGACGAGAGAGGAAGAACAGGTCGGAGTCCAGAGACGGTTTCAACTGATGTTTCTGTCTTTGACTCAAACAACGTTTCTGCAAAACCACTGAAAACTGTTTTATATTCAGTTCAATTCAAAAACGTACAAAGACGTCACAATTTTTACTTTAAAGCAAACGTAGCACCAAGTTCTTTCTGCTGTGTGACTCTGTGTGTGTGTCTTTGTGTGTGTGTCTGTGTCCCTGTGTGTGTGTCTGTGTCCCTGTGTGTGTCTCTGTGTGCAGTGAGATCAGTGTCATGGCGGCCGTCAGCATCATGGCGGTTTGTTGTCGAGCGTCTGTTCTCGCTCTTTGTTTCCTCGTCTGCTTCCTTCAGGTTCTCATCCAAGGAAAAGGTACGACCTCCAATCTCTGACCTCCGACCTGTTGACGTTAACGAACTTTGAATATTTCACTGAGCTGAAGTGACGATCGTCTGTCGACAGACTACCGCGTCTGAAACCGTCAAATCAAACGACTGATATTTCTTTATAGAACTTGTGGATTATGATTTCATTAATGTCAGTGCTGCTTTCTGATTGTGTTAATGTGTCGTCATGGTTACAGAAGTGACTGAATGTCACGTAAAGAAAACAAACTCAGACTTTTGAAATCATCAGGATGAACTCCGTCATTATTATTAAGATTTGATCATATGACAGGAAATGATTTTAATGATGTGACATCAAATCTGAGTCATGATAATCAATAAGATGATGATGGACAGTGGTTGTAATGAGTCATTTAAATGAAAGTGTAAGTTCAATAATTATCAATGAGCTCAAGTCAAATAAAAAGTATGAATTATATTGTGAAATGTGTCGACTGACTCCTGAAGGTCTGATTTGTTTTTATCTTGTTGGAGTAACGGAGCAGAAATATAGAAATAAACTGTGTAACTGTGTAAATGTGTGTGTGTGTTGACAGTTTTCCTCCGAGCTCCGCAGGCTCACGACGTTCTCCTGAGAACCAGACGAGCCAACATGTTCCTGCTGGAGGAGTTTCTGCAGGGGAACCTGGAGAGGGAGTGTTTTGAGGAGCTGTGCAACTACGAGGAGGCACGAGAATATTTCGAAGACACTGAGAAGACGGTCGGTTACTGCGAATATCACTGATCATTTTTAAAGATACTAAAGCACCGGGAGAATTTCATAACCTGAAACAGGTTCTTTAACTCTGATTCTTCACAGATCTCATTCTGGACAGTTTATTACGGTGAGGTTTATTTTTAGTGTCGACGCTACATGAAGAAAACTTGACTTCATTCTTTTCTGAATAAATAAATATCA